ACTTTCACAAGCAATACAAGCATTAAGAAACCATCAAGATGTCCCCTTCTCAAATGTTCTGTACCAAAACATAAAGGATCAAGTTCTAAATGTCCCTTTTGTCAGTAAACAACGTTTTCCCTTCTCACCCACAAGAGCTCAAAGCAAATGTTTTAAAATTCTCAGACTAAACAAAAACAATAAAAAGGAATGTTCCCTAGACTTAGAGCTTGTGTTACCAGTTGATTCCTTTCATTAAGCTGCCCTAAATAAAATATACAGTCATAGAGAGCTTGGGGGCTCTTATGACATCAATACAAATAAAAGACTCTGCTACTTCTCTCACTTGGCCTTACTCCTCACAAATGTAAAGTAATTATATATCACCTTGTAGCCTTAAGATTATGTACTTGTGCAAACAGGTGCTAAACCTCAATATCCCAGGCAGAGCTGTGCTGGAGAAATTTGTAGTCACATATATTCTGATTGGCGCATTAAGTATTTAAACCTTGTAGTCCATTCAACTTTTAGTCCTTGATCCTGCAAGGCTGAATCATGTGATTAATGTTATGCCACATGTAGTCTTTGATGTCAGCAGGACTATGCATGGCATAAAGTTCCTTGGTGCTTGAATCTTTTCAGGATTAGTGCCATAGGGCTTAATCCATAGCAGGTTGAAGATGAAGTTGATGGAAAAAGAACCTTTAAACCCTTAAAGAGGTCTTTACTATATAAGATTTTTTTTAATATTATATAACTAATATATATTATAAATATACATGTGTGTGTGTGTGCATGGATATACAGTATGCAGAGCACAGATGCTATTTTGAAATAATAGATTTATTGATAGTAATTCTGCCTCTGTAACCACTAGGGTGGATTTGAACCTGGGATCTCTGGTGTTTAGTGTGGGAACTGTCTACAGCTTGAGCTATAAAGTCAGAGGGCGCTCAGCTTATGCTGTAGAGTTTCCTTGTCTTTATCTTTCATGGCAAGTGGTCTAACTGCCATTACATGGGACAGTGAACCACACCAGAGGTGCATCTTTCTGTGTAGATGTGAACTATTTTGAAATAATGTTTCTGTGTAGACGTACCCCTACAGGAGTGTGGGTTACACTTGCACAGTGTATTAGCTATTTTCTATGATTTTCTTACCTGAGTTTTATTGCTAACTGTATTTACATGACAATAAGTTTTTTTGTTTTTCTAAGACTTCACTTGTTCCTTGACATATTAATTTACATATTTATCAGGGTTATTCTCAGAGAAACCAACTCTGATGATGCAGAGAATGATGGTTTTATGCAGGAAATATTGCATTAAGAGCATATGAATTCTAAGAAGATCTAAAGAGCTTGTTGCATGCAAATATCTTTAACAGTTAAGAAATGGATCGGAGAAATGCAAAAAATGTGTGATAGAACTTAAACATGTTTACTTTAATGGAAAGTAAGGGTTTGCAATACTGAATTTTTTTATTGCAAATCATTTGTTTTCCATGCGGATTTAAGAGGCTACTTAAACAATGAGGGAAACATTTTTTGAATGGCTTGCCTTTTTTACATTTAAGATAGAAAATAAAATAAAACACATTCATTTAAAAATCAAGAGCTATAGCAAATGCTTATATGCTAAAAAAAAGTAATGAATTTGCACTATATTAAATCAGTAACAAATTATTTGCTCATCTAGTAAGTCTGCTCCCAAGTCCTACCATTCCTGCCCATGGTCGCTGGGACAACTCACCTGAGTAAGGGCATATGTGTGAGTAAAGGTCTGTAAGCTCAACTCATTACGCAGTAACAATGATGACAGCATGATCTGGTGCATATAAATATGTCTGCATATACAAAGTATCTGTGATTCTCAGTTCTTTGGATTCAGCATGCCCAGGTACACAAGAGACTGTGCTGTCCTTCATGCTACTTTCTCAACAAAAGAACATTATGAAGAAGCAGAGTTGGTCAGAAAAATGAGTACTCTTCACTCAGTCATCCTGGGTCTCTGTTTTTGGCATCTATTCTTCCTCCTTCCATATTCCAACAGCCATATTTTTTATCCAACCACACTTAGCAGAGATGTATGTCATTAGAAAGTACAGTCAGTATTGCATCTCCTTATCTTAGTTCTCTATGGTGATTGCCTAGCCTCACCTACATATGTCAAACTTCTGACAAGCAAAGCAGTAGAAGTTCTAAGGTTACTCCTTAATGCTATGATATATTCTGAAGCAAAATGCAGGACAATGTAGCACTTTAAAGACTAACAAGATGGTTTATTAGATGATGAGCTTTCTTGTTAGTCTTTAAAGTGCTACATTGTCCTGCATTTTGCTTCAGCTACCCCAGACTAACACGGCTACATTTCTATCACTATGATATATTCTGTAAGGTATAGTTTAAACCACTCCGTTATACTGGATATTATTTTAAATACATCTGGTGTATATAAATGTTGCAGGGTCTCCAAATTCTGAACAATCTGCAGCCAGATTCCCTGCACAAACAGAAAATGTAGAAACATAACTGTAACTTTCAACAGTTACTTTCTTTTTAAACCTTTTATTACAGCCATAGCACATTAGTGTTTAAAAAGAACCACAACTGAGTTCTACTCTTGGCTCATCCACTGAATCTGTCTGACCTTGGGCGAGACATTTGGTCACTTTGAGCTTCAGTCAGCACAACTATAGAATTAAGAAAGAAAAAAAAACAGAACTTCACTCTAAACCAGATGTTATCCTGGAGCTGATGCTTTTCCAGGTCAGAAACAAATTGCCAAATAAAGGGAATGCAAAAATAATTACTTGAAAAAAATGTAACCTCTACCCCACTGCTCCAAATTCTTAAGTCTATTACAGAGAACTCAGAAGGATGACATGAAGAAATGTCATAAGCACTAAAAAAACCATTCTTTATCTCCTTAGATACAATATCAAATGCTAATTTTATGGTTTACGTTCTGAATGAATGAGTTCAAACTAAATACTGAAAGTGTGAGAGTTAATGTCTTTAAATCTTGATATAATTAGATAAAAGCACATTATAACTTCCAAATCTTGGGCAAAGTGTTTCAGAAAAGAGTACAGTGGGCTGGTATTTATGACATTTGTGTTTTATTCTTGGCTCTGCTATTATCCTTTTAGATAACCTAGGACAAGTCCCTTCACCTCTCTGTCTCGGGGTATGTCTACACTACAGAGTTTTGTTGGAAAAATGGCCATTTTCTGACAAAACTTGAGGAACGTCCACACTGCAGTTGCATTCTTCCACAAGAAAATCGAAAGAACAGAGGGGTTTTTCCAGCATTGGTAATCCTCATTCTATGAGGAAGAAGCCTTTTTGAGAAAGAGCTCTTTTGCAAAAAGGCATGTGTGGACGGGGAAGACGGAGTTCTTTCGAAAGAAGAGGAAAGAGGAAAAAGCACAGGTGCCCTGGTGGCCATTCCATCCATAGTAATCACAGCTTACGTGCGAGAGAGCATCCATTCAGTCTGGACGCTCTCTTTTGAAAAAGCAGATGGCTTTTTTTATGCACTTTTGCAGAGTGGATGCTCTCTTTCAGAAGAAGTTTTTTTGGAGATCTCTCCCAAAAAAAAGCTTCTTCCAAACAAAGCCTGTAGTCTAAACGTAGCCTCAGTTTCCCCATCTGTAAAATGGAAACAATATTATTAAGCTATTTTCTCAGGCACTTTGAGAGCTATCGATGAAAAGTGCTATGAAATTCTATCAATAGGCAGGCCACCTTTCCTTACCTACACCCTGATTCCAATGAATTGTTTGCCCATAGTTCTAATGGATTTTACAACTTTTGCTAATTATATTTCATCTGACATTAGGGAAGCACTACTGTGTGACTTAAAATGCCATAACACAAATCCACTGTCATTTTTGGGGATGTTGATGAAAATAATGTGAAAATCATCAGTTAAATAATTTACTAGAAAATGTGTGAACTTTTGCAAAAATAAGTAAAATTGACATTTCCAGATAAGTCAATCATTTTAATACCTAAAAATCAACAACTGAACAACAAAATCTTTGAAGTTAGTAAATCCAGTTGAACGTTAGTGGGGAATAGTATAATATCCTAGGTCAGGCAAAAACCATACAACCATTTAGCACTCTAGAACTTTCAAATGATTTAGTGTACAAGACAAACAGACAATAGCATCCTGGTATCTTTGCCATTTCAAAATACACAAAACCACTGGGATATGTGGGGATTACTGTACGGATTATGGACTACAGTACATTGTTACAGTAAAACAAAAAATAAGTGATCTTTTAGCTTGCACCTGACAGGCTGACTATTGTTACCCTACTTTATACATCAGATACACTTTTCATTGTGTAAATGCAGGCATTGTGAAATGCCCCAGAATGTAAGATTTTAGTGCCCTGATTTTGGGTGAAAGGAGAGTTCTGGAAACACAGACCCCACCTTTCTATTGAATTTACTGCTGATAAAAGGCCCTTCTCACTCCTTTGTCACTTTTCATCCAAAGATCTCAAAGAGCTTTATGAAGGAAAGTAAGTTTCATTATTCCATTTTAAACTGGTGCAAATTAAATCACAGAGAATGACTACCCTAAGGTCATCAGTAGTAGAGCCAGGATTACAACACAGTACACCCAATTCCAGGGCTCTAACCACTAGACCACAGTGACTCATTTCACACAGGCCAGAACTGTGTAGATCTTCTTTGGTTGCCAAATGGAGTAAACCATCTAACTGACAACTAACTCACTCCAGTCCCCTGAGACACCTAGTCCTCCAGGATCACGTTTTCATTAACTAAGACGTTTTCATTAACTAAGACACTGAGGTGTGATATGCACAACAGCAAAGGAGTTTGTTTTCACCCTCTCCTCTCCCTTCCCCTGCCCATGTCATCCTGTCTCCTGGGTGGAACATGTCACACAGTCCCCATCACCCAAGATGGCCCTGCTGACAGTGCAGCAGCTCAGTGTTTTCAGAGGTAACAAAGTGGGTAGCAGTGCCCTGCTTGGTCTTACCCGATTCACAGGTGCCTTTCTGGATCTGGATGACAGCTGGCAACCCCTGCTGCAGAGCCTTACGGCTCACCACCTTCAGCTGACACACGTTGTCGTAGGTTCTGCCATCGCTTCCACACACCCGGTAGCTGAGCTTGCACTGGCAAACCCCTTTGCCAAAACGCTTGCCCATGGGGTGCTTGCAGTCCAGGCTCTCCCCGCAGGGTGGGTCTTCCTTGCGGCCACAGGAATCGCCTTCTCCCGCAGCGCAGATAAGGCAGCAGTTGCAGTGATCAGGGACGTAGCCACTTGGGCAGCTGGGGCTCGGGCACTTGGAGACATCACAGCGCGCTGGACACTTGCCATTGGCCACAAAGGGCTCTGCAAAGGTCTGACTTGCAGCAGAAAAGCCCTCATCACTCGTGATGCTTTTTTTAATCAGGAAGAGGGAAATGTGCAAATCCAGGTGAATAATCAGAGGAGGGGAAAGAGAGACAAATTTCACAATTAAAATGCCATGAGGGAATGACAGAAAAGGGAAAATCAAGCTTTGCCAACACACAAGAAAAGGAAAGGGTTACTCTTCCTTAACAGCCCCCAGCCTGTGACTCACACCCACGCTAATGTTATGGGGCTCTCTGCACTACAGGAGGGAGCAGCAGGCAGAAAGAAAAGAGAGGCTGGAAAAAAAGTTAAAACATGAAGCCACTAAGTAAAGGCTGGGTCAGTGCATCCGCATGGTGTAAACTTGCCACAGCTCAGCTGCTCTTCAGGACTAGCTTGCCGAGCTGGTTTAATCCTCAAAAAGCCTTCACATGCGCAGAACCGACCTCTGTCTCCCCGGATCAGCAGAGGCTGTGCCAGGGTTATCAGGAGCTCTGCAGAAGAGCTGCAAGAGGCAGTGAAGCCAGAAGCAAGTTAAGCAGGACAGTTATATGCGGGATGTGGCTGGTGCTGCAGCTGCCTCTCAGGCGTCCCTGTCAGTAGCAGCACAGGCAGGACCAGCTGCACAGACTTCAGCCTCAGCCAGCAGTCAGGCCCCACCCACCCATCCAGTGGAGAACACTCCTCCCTTTCCTTCACACACTCACAGGGCTGCATCCCGTCTAGGGTCAGCAAGCTGGCTGGGTTCAGTGCAAAGGGAAATGACTGAGTTTGCCTTGGGACAGAGACTCAGTTTTTAATGTTTGCATCACCACAGTAACTGTTGGTAAACAGAGCCAGGATGAAAGCAGGAGTGAGCCCAGCATTTCAGGGGCCTGCGGGCAGAAGGACAGAGCTACACTGTGTGAAAATGAGGGATTAACTCAGAAGCAGATGGTTCAGAATAGCTGTGAACCATTCAGTTCATGGCATTCATGGAAATCGGAGAGGGCAGTAGCCTATGGCATCATCTTCCCTCATTTTCTTCCTTTTTCCCTCTCACCTTTGCCTTACTTAAGTCACATTTACAAATAGCAGTTCGTATGTTCAAACCCCCTTACAAACATGGTTAATTGTGTTTGTTGCAGCAGTGTCTAGCGACTAACCAAGATCAGCCCCATTGTGAATTCCCATAACACAGTGGATATTTTGATCCCCTTATTACAGATGAGGAAATTCAGGCACAGAGAGATTACATGATTTGCCAGGCCTCGGAGAGAGGCTTAGTGACACAGCCAGATTACAGCTCAAGACTTCCTGACTCCCAGCTCTGGGTCAGATTCCCAACGGACATAAATCTGCATAGAGCCACTGAAATCATCACGCCTCTGTATACCAATTAAGGATCTGGTCCTTTGCTGGCAATCCTCCCACTCACCACTAGCCGAAAACTTCTTTAGTTCTTATTTTTTTTTATTCTAATTCTTATAAAACACATCAATAGGAAGCAATACTTACATATTTGGGGTCGGGAAGGAATTTTCCTCCAGGGTGGATTGGCAGAGGCCCTGGAGGTTTTTCGCCTTCCTCTGTAGCATGGGGTACAGATCACAGCTAGAGGATTTTCTGCATCTTGGGGCCTTCAAAGTATTTGAAGGCTTCAATATCTGAGATATTGAGGTGAGAGGATTATTCTCAGAGGGGTGGGTGAGATTCTGTGGCCTGCACTGTGCAGGGGGTCATACTAGATGATCATAATGGTCCCTTCTGACCTTAAAGTCTATGAGTCTATAGTACCTTGCACACATTAAATAATCCTCATAGTGCTGTGGGCTAGGGATGCAATAGTATATTCCCATTTTAAAGAGAAGGAAATTACAGCATAGATTGTGGTCCAGATTGCACCCATTGACTTTAGGCCATAAATGATTTGGCCATAAGAGGACATTGTTCCAGCCAACATATAAGCAATTTCTAGCTTCCAGTCATATATTCAGACTGCACCTCTCTCTCTCTGGTTACGTCTACACTGCAAAAGTAGATCTGCAGCTGCTAGTCTCAGACAGGGCCTGGAACAATTTGTATAGTGGGGGTGTTAAGAGCCATTGACTCAAACTGTACGTGCTCTATCTAATGGAAACCAATTCAAGCCAGAGAACGCAGTGGCACCCCTCCTTCCAGCACCTATGCGCTCAGACCCCAACACCTAACGAGCTTCCGGGGTTTGTGTTTTGGTACTAAAAAAAGACAGGATGGAGCCTGGGCTCTGAAACCACGTTGGGGAGGGGAAGGTCTCAGAACCCAGGCACCAGCCAGAACAGGAAAGTCTACATGGCTATTTTTAGCCTCATACTATGAGCCCCATGCGACAGAGTCAGTTGACTTAGGCTCTGAGACTCTATGTCACAGGTGGGCTTTTTGAAGTGTAGATGTATCCTGTGTATCTTTGATCCTTTGTTAACTTTATTTCCTTCTCCATCCTGTGGACCCAATATAGCTTCCCTCCCTGTTAACTCTTTCATGCACACAAGTTGAAACCTCACTAAAACTGTGTGCAGGACAGAATCCTTCTTTTCAGATGCGAATCAGAGCCCAAATGTCCAGATTTCATACCAGAGCATGGCCTCTGTATCAAGGGAGGCTAGCCTTGTGAAGTGCCCTCCAGATGTTGACTTGGGCGTTCTTCCATCATGGGAGATATTGTCCGTAATGCTGCCCTATGGTCACAGCATGGAACAGGAACCAAAGCCAAAGTAGCACGTAATTGAGGTAACTGTGCATGGGCCAGAGAGTCACCTGTTGATTCATTTATACTCAGGTGAACAAAGAGGCAGACACAGTGATGGACTCACACATTTTCTTTGTATGTTAGATTTTCCCACCCAGGCCTGTGCTCTATAAGAATGTCGTTTTTAGCTCCCGGGCAGTGCTGACCATAACGGGCCAGTAGCACTCTTGTCCAGGCTTACATGAGCTGCAGCAGCAGATGGGTCTTGAGAACTCAGCTGTGGTGTCATACCCTGGGCCACAAGAGTGGAATTCCTCCCCTGAATACAAGCAGGCCTTTGAGTTGGCAGTGCATGTTGTTTCCATACTGAGAATGGGACATGAGATATATGGGGGGGTTCATCTGCAATGGCTGTGTCAGCAGGCCTAGTAGGGGAGCATGACATGGAGGAGAAGCGTGAATAGAGAAGTAAGCAGGGACATCCTAGAAAAGCCGTAATCCTTTCTCTAATCAACCTTCCCTACAAAGCCCTTCCAGAGAGTGAATTCTACAGAGTCCAGACACCACAGCAGTTCCTTCTTCTCTGCACAGATCACTGTGTACATGAGCTGAGTTGGTATATTCCTTCTTCCCCAAGACTCTCAGAGATTCTCAGCTGGGGGTGGGGATGCAGTGCACCTCCTGATGCAATAGAGAGGGCAAACACTAGGTTGCAGTGCATGGCCCAGCAAGTTGTGAAAAAGGGGTGGAGCAGTTAGGCAAAATTTGAGGGGTGGCACTGCAACCTGGCACACAGAGTCACAACACCACTTTGTTTTGGCCCAACAACCCCGGGTGCGTGTCTGGTTTACCTCTAGCTAGAGCAATCCCTGAGGACTCCTATCTTCTTTGTCATGCAACTCACTGTCAAGAGAAGAAAAAGAGAAGGAGCAGCAAGGAAAGAAACTCAGCTAGACTGAGGCTATGTCTACACTGCAGGCTTCTTGCACAAGAGCGCATCCACACTGCAAAAGCGCATCGAAAAAGTGATGCACTTTTGTGCAAGAGAGCATCCAGACTGCATAGACGGTCTCTCGAAAGGAAACTCTGGTTGCTATTTACAGAATGGTCATCAGGGCACCTGTGCTTTTTCAATTGTCTCTTTTTTGCTCTAAAAACCTTGTCTGGCCACACATACCTTTTTGCACAAGAGCGCTTGCACAGAAAGGAGTTATTCCTCATAGAAGGAGGAATACCTACACCAGAAAAACCCCTCTTTTTTTTTATTTTTTTTGTGCAAAAACATGCTTGAGGTGTGAATGCTCCTCAAGTTTTTGCACAAAAACAGCCGTTTTTACGCAAAAACTCCGTAGTGTAGACCTAGCCTGAGGGAGCCATAGGAAGACAGAGGGAGATTGTTAGGGGAGGACCGGGTAGAGACATACAGTATTGACCCATTCTTTCTGAACAGATTCTGTTCTTGTGAGCTCACACTCACTTCCTGGATACCTTTTAACAAAAATAAACCAAGTGCTGCTACTCTAGTTCCCATCAGTCCATCCCACTGGGTTTGAATTCTCCATGAATAGTGCAGACAGCCCTGGCTCACAATTCCTGCTTTGGGAATGGAAGACACACAAATGCTTCAGCATGTTGTAGATAATTCAGTATCTCAAACATTCTACTTTTTAACCATGATTGCTGGCTTTTTGAAGCACCAAAGTTATATCATTGGTCAAAGAAGAACCTGTCACCCATTCCCATTTCTTTCGCCCTATATTTTGACAGGGCCTCCTCTCTTAGCTTTCTCCCATCTCTTGAGGATCAGTGGCCTCCCTCTGTTGGCAAAACGTTCCACCAGAAATTATTACACAGAATGTGATTACTATCCTCCTACCTTTGAAATGTAGATCTAGTTCAGAAGAACAAACAGGTCAGCCTACTTTATACATGCGGTTGTCCAGAGAGTTAGTCACAGGAAAGACAAAGGCATTCTTTATTAATATAAATAACTTGTCACTCAGAAATACATGAACATTTATACTAAGCCACGATAACTAAAGGAAGAAGCAATTAAACTATAACTTTTAAACATATTAAAAGTCAAACATTTCAAAAAGTGCATTACTCTCCTGGAAACTGAAATTGTTTAACTTGATCAGAGAGATGTTATTTTAGGCCAGGAATGGGGAAGTTTAAAGCAGTAGAGCTCCACAAAATTCTTTAGGTGGGTTAGGGTGATATGGAGGGGTCCCCTGCCCTTGGGAAGATGGAAGGACCTTTGCGGGGCTGAAAATGAGCCTGCCCTCCATCCATCCCTCAGTGGCAGT